GCTGAGGTTGGCGGGGCCCAGCCAGGGAGGGTGGGGAAGGGCAAAGACGATAAAAACATCCAAGAGCCAGACCCCTGCCCTTGACACCTCCTGGTCTAGCGGGGATACCCCATAGCACACGGGGCAGCGCAGGGGACAGCGGCACATGCCCCAGGGGCAGAGGCCACGCGAGGAGGCAGGATTAACTCCAGGGGATGAGAGAGACATCCTGCAAGATAAAGCGGAGTTTTCATGTAGAGGAGGGTCAGGGCCTTCCTGTTCCCGGGAGGAGGGAGTGGAATGTCACCACATGCAGGGACACAGCAGCAGGCTGAGCTGCCCCAGCAGCCCTCCTGACACACAGGACTGGGTGAGGGCAGGGTGGGGCGGGGCAGGGGTGGAGCTGGACATGGGGCTGGGGTCAGACCTGCATTCAGGGCCTGGGGGCCACTTCCCGAGGGGATTGGACTTTGTCTGAGGGCAGGATTTGGGGCCAGGGAGGGACAGAATCTGATCCTTGGCTGGGGGACTGGGCAGGTCTTCCTGGAGGCGGTGCCTGGCTCTGGGGACGCAGGTCCTGGGATTCCCAGTGATGGGGGCCTGGGAGGCAGTAGGGAGCAGACGGATTCCAGATCCTTCAGGAGGTAGAGTCTCTGGGGTCAGGCCTGAGGGAGGCCAGGCTTTGGAGGCGGAGGGGAAGGTGGGAGAGAGTCTGCCTCTCAGGAAGCAGTGTCTTCAGCTGCTGCGTCAGCGAGCTGACCAGGAGGGATTACACGGACAGTCGTCTTTCTCACATAAGGAGAAGTCCGAGGAGAGAGGGGGCTGGTGTTGGTCCAACAGGCATCGGTGTCCGACCGGCCTTGCCATCTCCTTGGCAGTAGCCCCGGCCCTGATGTCCTTGTTCAAGGCAGGAGGAGGAGGGGGCAGTGTAGCGGGTGTGGTGGGGCCTTCCCAGGTCACCTCTTCAGGCTGATGGACCCCCAGCTGCTGGGGAGAGCAGTCAGCACTGACACATTATGCCCCCACCCTGGAATCAATGATGGCTGATGTGGGGGACACAGGCTCTGCCCTCTTGACTCAGGCAGGGACACTCTGCAGGGGCGGTCAGCTCATAGGCCAGGGCCTCTGCTGCCACCTCACCGTGGGCCAGCTCCCCCCTCTGCCTGGTCCTGCCTCCCTCCCCTGTCCCAGGTGCATCTTCCACGAGGCCTCCCCAGTAAGCCTGCACACACAGCCTCGGTCTCAGAGTCCGTGTCCAGGAAACGCCATCTAAGACAGCCAGTTCTGTCTGACCCCTTTATCAGGAAAGCAACAGGTCTCCCAGACCCCCCACCCCGCCCTCCCCAGGAGCAGGTCTCTGCTCCTCTCTCAGTGGCCAGAATTGAGCCTGAGCTGGGAGAGAGCCTGGATACATTGCTGCTCTCGGGAGCAGCAGGATCCTGTTAGCAAAGGAGAAGCCAGAAATGGGTGTCAGGGCCGTGACTGTGACACCCACTTAATTCATCAACCTGCAGCTGATGTGAAAGTGGGAAAAGAGCCTGGCTCAGGGCTAGTTAACGTTCCTGGGACACATTCTGTGTGTTGCGATAATCTGGGCCACATTTTTCTGTTTCCTATGCTTTGAAAACTCCTTATGGCTAAGGGTCAAGACAAGGAAGAAAATGTGGAGAAACACCAGGGTTGACAGTTAAGAGGCCTTGATCTGTGACTTGAATGTGCAGCGTTCTGGCTGTGAAATCCGGGATGTTTTCCTCTTCTGTAGGGTGAGGATGAGGTGCCTCTGAGTGGGCTGAGACAGGGAGCAGGGCCTGGTGGAGAGGCCTGGGGAGCAGGTATGGAGCTCCATGGGGGCGGGGCAGGGTGGGGTAAGAGGAGTCAGAGATGCCCCTCCTGCTCCAATCCCCTGTGAGATGCGGCCACTGGCTCTGGAGCAAAGGTGGAAGGTCGGGGGACTCGGGTCAATGTGACACTGTGTGTGGGCAGAAACCAGTGTGCTTCCTGGACGCCCCTGGCAGGTGCGTTAGAATAAAAGAAGCATCAAGGTGGGACTTGACTCACCCCAGGGGCTTAATCGCTAAACCCAACGTTGCTTCTCCGAGCACAGGCACACACGTGGGAGATAGAGGGGCTTACAGTCCGGTTCCAGACTCGCACACAGAGATAAACCTCAATGCAGTGAGGCCCTGGTCCATTGAGTCAGTAAAAGTTCCTGGGAGTTAAGCCTCTGGGTGGTCCAGCGTCACCATGGAAACCTCACCCTGCCCCCGCAGCTGTGAACTGCTGAGAGGTGATGGGCCAGCTGCTGTGTGATGCCCAGGCTTGGAGAGAGGGTTGACATGCAGCGTTGGAGATGGGTGACAGAGGGACAGGTGTGCAGGGAGCAAGGGGACTTGTCATCCTCTGGGGTCCCAGGAAGGACCAGATGCAGCAGAGGGAGAATCCAGCAGCAGAACACGGGACTTGAGCTCTGCAGATCTGGGGGAGTCGGCGCTGCTCCCTCACCGCCCATCACGTTGATCTCGAGCCTGCACGTGGCCTCCACGGTCAGCGTCCAGTTCTCACTGAGACGCACTCCCCTTCCAATTCCTCACACGAATGTCAGGGCAGATTCGGGGCAGGAGGAGGGGACCTACACCCCGTCAGCTGAGGGATTCTCCAGTCCCGCTGTGGCCGACCCCAGAGGTGAGGACGGTGTTTGATTTTCAAATTTTAACATTTTATTATTTTTTCCTATTTTTTAAAAAGATCACAGCCCGGTTATTGGCCGAAGCAGAACCTCTGGCTGTCCTGGACAAAGCCACAGACCAAAACTGCCACCGGCTTCCTCGGCGTGGGGCACGGAGTGTGGATTGTGGACCCTGCGTCCCAACTCCCTGGGACTCCAGGGCCCAGCACATGCTCGGTGCTCAGGACATGACTGTGGGATGTCTTAGTCTGAGTCCCCCCAAGGCCGACTCTGAGACAAGGACTTGGGTGCAGGGTCCCAGGAGCCCGTGGGGAGTGGGGTGCAGATGAGGTAAAAGAGAAGAGCCAGTAAAGCCTGAGCCCCGGCCCAGGGGTGCACTCCTGCTGGGGCCTCTGAGGACCATGTGGCCCCTCGGGTCTCCCTGCAGAAGACGGGAGCCTGGGGAGGCCCTGGACAGAGAGGGGAGCAGCCCCCAAGGCGGGGAGGGGGCGGTGAGCTGGGAACTGCAGCGGCTGCAGGTGACGCGGGGCCCGGGCTCAGGGCTGGTCCACAGTGTCCTACAGTGGGTGGGGGGCTTGCCGTGTGGGGAGAGCAGGACAGCACCCCGTGCAGAGGAGCAGGAACAGGAGGCAGAGGCCGGCAGGGGTCCACTCCCCGCCCACCGAGGCCTCCTCACCTCCCAGGACCGGGCAGTGCATCCCCATCTTTGCCTAAGCTGCGTGGGTTTGGTTCTGGAACTTTCACCCAAATGGTCCTTGCTGAAGTGACACCACAAGCCCAGAGCCCTGGGGACACACTCGGCCTCCCCGTGCGGCTGCCCCACAAGCAAGGCGGGTGGGCTGGGCTTTCCAGTCCCCCACGGGGCGCTGTGGTGGAGTTGCTGTCAGGACCTATGACCTGGTGGCCAGTTTCAGCTGTGCCGTCACAAAAGCACCAACTCAATACTTTCTACCATCTCAACACCTTTATTTGGATGTGGCTACTCAGTAAATCTTGAACAGGGATCCTCCCAGACAGCTGCCAGGCAATAAGGTGAGAGATAAACGGTGGATTTTCAAGATCTTGGGGCGATTAGATGGTGAGCCGTCAAGGACAGAGGCCAGAGTTTCTCTTCGGTGACTCCTGTGCCCCTTCCCCGCCAGGAGCAGGAAAAAGCTGACACACAACTGTAAGCCCCAGAGCCGGTGGGACAAGTCCCTTCCACGTAACAATTCATTTCATTTCAATACGACAGCAGGCACGTGCGGTCACGGGGCTCTTCCCGACTGGCCTGGGCAGGAGCCCCAGCACAGACACCGGGGACAAGTGGCTGGAGCCCCCCCAGGTGGAGAAACATCAGAGCACAGCTTTCTGTTGAAAAACATTTACTTTGAAACCAAGCACCTCGATGCTGCGTTTCCGTGTGCACAACGCCAGCCTTTTCCTTGAGAACAGCCCCACAGTGCAGACGCCTTTGCGTGTCCAGGCCCGTGTGAGCCCTTCATGCATGAGGCGCTGAGTGGTCCAGGACCCAGCCGACACCACTCAGGGGATGGAGGGGAGTGGGTACACACGGGAGAACACGGACCCTGAGGCGGGGTCCTTTCTGGCCTCCTGAGATGTCTCACTGGTGTGACAGGAGCGCAGAGGAGAATCCTTGCATGTAACATCCTGACACTTTCCATGATGGTCTTTTCTGAGGGACAAGGAGGCTCTAGTCCTTACGGGGTGGGGACTTGGAGGCCTGACACAGGCGTCCAGCAGCCCCGCAGTTTTCTGAGAGGCCTGACTTGTGGAGAAGCGGGTTACACCCTCCCTCCCTGGACCCTCCTCCCCTCCCCAGGTCTTCCTGTCTGACAATTTTGTAGAGTCAATCACTTATTTTCCCCACAAATCTACACTCAAAGTTGATTTTACGCAGATTTCCCTTGGATCCCAAAGCCGGGGCGGGGGGCGGGGGGGGGGAAGGAAGTGGAACGGGGGGCGGGCAGTGTGCTCGTCCCTGTCAGCCTCCCCGGGAGGGGGAGCGGATCTGGACCACTCTCCACTCTCCAGAGCAGAAGCGGAACCGCGGAGCAGGAACAAGGTCTGTGGATCTTCTTCGGATCTGGAGGCATTGACGGCACCATGTCGATTTAAGAAAATGAGACCAAATATTCCCATGAACCTGCTATCGGGAACCTCATTGCTGAGGCGGAATCCCCAGAGAGGCGACACGGTGGGTGGTCTGGGATTCTCAACAGTGAGGGCTTCAGATATTAGTTTTCTAGAAGGTGGAGTTTTATTGTCAGATAATTCCAAGAGACAGTTACTTTTCCAGGCAAAAAACAAACAAACCCCAAACCCAACAAACCCCAAAACACAAGTTTTTCATGTTCATCATAATAAATTAAAATGTCCAAACAGATATGCCAGAGTGTGACTTCATCGTTCAGTCTGAAAGGATGGTCTGATAATCCCTGTTCTTGTTGATCTTCTCTTTACCATCCAGATGGCGAATGTTGATCACTGCTTTTGGGAGCCAATAATCCGGGTTTTATTGAGCCTCTCTCGCGTCGGCGCAGCTCCCCGCCTCTTCAGTGGTAATAGTTGCTGAAGGCGTGGAGGATGTACAGCAGGGTGGTGACAAAGGCGAGGAACTGGGAGAGGACGGGAGAAGGACCGTGTTAGAGACACAGCCTGCGCCCACCCCCAGGGCCCTCAGCCCCACCCCTCCCACTCCTCCTCCCCACCCGCCACGGCCACAGCCCCCCAGAGTCGCCTGATCGTCCTGCCTGACCATCTCCCTGTGTGTCCACCTCTCCCTCGTCTCAGCGGCCCTCGTCCCTCGCCAGGACTCCTCGTGGCCTCAACCTGTCCTCTTCTGCCCTCCGCCCCCTTAATCCACCGCAGAGGACACGTGCGCTCGTTGCTGCATCATGTAGTAAAACCCTGTGATGCCTCCCGCCTCTCAGGGCAGAGGCCATCGCCCCAACACGCCTTCCGGCCCCGCTGCCCACTCCAGCCTCACTCTGCCCCGCTGTCCACTCACACTGTGATCTCATTCATTCATTCAACAAATAAATATCTTTTAGGTCAGGGATGGGCTCACACCCATCCTGCGAATGAGAGTGCTTCTTGGGAGGTTTTCAAGGTGGGATTAAGGAGGAGGGTTAGGCTGCTCCAGAGGAGGAATCTCCTGGCTGTGAGCTCCCTGCCACGTGAGGGCGCCGTTCCACAAACAGAAAAGAGGCCGCTGGGCAGAGCCTGGAGAGGGGAGGCAGAGCTGGCCTCGAGTCTCTGGTCCCAGGGGGCCTGAGGTCTCGGGGTCCCGCTCCTCCCACGACTCGTCTGGACCACCTGCCTCGGGTCCATCAGCCACCACCGTCCTCCTGTGGACCTCGGTCACTGCAGGACACGCAGTTCACCATGCTGAGGACTTTGGGCTCCATGCCACAAGCAGTGGGAGCCATCGAAGATCTTCAGTAGGAGAGAGAGACTGTTCCAATTTGAGTTTTGGAAGAAAATATCCTGAGGGCAGTGTAGTGGATGGAAGAGGGCTCAAGGCTGAGGTGGGAAAACAGAAGATGAGAGCTGACCCCTGAACTTGGGCTTGGTGCTCCGTGAGCTGGGCACACCTGTTTACACGGGCACAGACACTCTCACACACACATCCTTCCTCCATCCTCCAGGCTCCGTCAGCCTGAGGGTCAGGCTGTGTGTTCACATGAGACAGAACTCAGCCTCAGGCGATGCCCTCCCTCCATGGTGGTCGTGTTGTCCAGCGCTCACCGAGGCTGTGGTGTTGATGTAGTAATTGCTCAGGTTCTGGGTCTCAGAGACGATCGTGGCATGCACCTGTAAGACGGCCGCACTCGTGTACAGGATGGCAGTGGCCCCGTGGCACAGGCTGTCCTGGAAAGGCAGAGCAGAGGCCTCGTCACGTGGCACGTAGACAGGTGAGCACTTCCCACTCTGACTATATAGCCGAGAAGACTGAGAAAAAGAGACAAGCCAGCTCCCGAAACTCCTGCTTTTTTTTCTGGGCAATGTTTCTAATGAAATAGCTATGTAGCAAACAATAGTAGATTAATATTTAGCAATAATAATATTAACACCTGCCAACACTGATTGGGTGTTTACTCCGTGCCAGGCTCTATGCTAAGCCCTTCTCTCATTTATCTCATTTAACCTTGTCAATTTTGAGGAAATGGAAGCTCAGGGTTAAGGTCAATGAATAAATGGGTGAGCCAGCATTTGAACCCAGGCCACAATAACTGCAATGCTCTTAACCATGAGCCTTGTGAAGACCTACCATGTGCTGGCACTGTCCTCACAGTGTACACATGTTGTCTCATTTCATTTCCACAGCTAGTTTCGTAAGGCTGCTACTATCATTACCTCCAATTCACAGATGAGGAAACTGAGGCTTAGCCAACACGTGGAAGAGCTGACTCAGTCAGGGTCATCTAACCCTAGATTTCCATTTCTGAGTCTCTGTGTTAACTCTCAGCAGTGTTCTTCATTCAACAAGAATGTCATGTGGTCATTAAAATGGTTATTAGGGTGCTGGCCCGGTAGCGTAGCAGTTAAGTTCCCGCGCTCCGCTGTGACGGCCCAGGGTTCGCAGGTTCAGATCCCAAACACACACCAGACACTGCTTGTCAAGCCATGCTGTGGTGGCATCCCATATAAAGTGGAGGAAGATGGGCACAGATGTTAGCCCAGGGCCAATCTTGCCCGGGCTTGGCCCCCATGGAACCAAGACTTTTTATTTTAATGTGTTTACTATTAAACTGGAATGAAAGCATTCCTCTGCCAGAGTAAATCTTCCATTGCAGTCCCCTCCATTGCCTTCCTTTTCAGGAATACACACACTCTGTATGTTTCTGTTTCAGTCCCTGGTCTCTGTTTCTCCCTCCCCTCCCAGAAGGTCCTCACATCACCCAGGACATCAGTCTGGGAGGATCCCGAGGGCCTGGGCCACCCTCGCTGATTCTTACCAGGACTTTCCAGGACTCGTATCTTTTGTAAAATCCAAGCAAGTAAGACAACAGGAACATCAGGAAGATGAGGAACGAGGTGAGTGAGACGTACATCACCCATCCTTGCAGCAACGGGTTTGCTACCTGGGTGGCGGCCACCAGGATCCAGACCCAGCACCCAAACACCTGCAAGAGAAAACCATAAAGAGGGGCTTCATTTGCTTGTGCCCGACACTTTTCCCTGTGCAGGGCATCTGTCTTCTCCTCTCTCTCTGGTTAAAAGCTCTTCGGATGAAGTTAGTTGGGAATTGAGAAAATAGGGAGGGAAGGCTGGCCCCCTGAGTCACAGTAATCTCGGGTCCTATTGGTAGAAAATTCAAGGGGCTTCGCAGAGGTTGCCAAGGGAAGGACTTGGCCAAATTTGGCCTACGGACCTGTCTTCTTGGCCCAAATGGTGTTGGCATACACAGTTGTTTAAACATTTCTGAATAAGTTGTCAAGATTTAAAACAGGATATTTCACATGAAAAATCAAGATTTCGGATATTTCTTGAAAAATCCATAGTTCTGGCCACAGTGAACCTGTTTCCCAGGCCAGAGTAGCCTGAAATGAGTTGTGACTGTCTCTTTAAAAAGGATCTGGAGTCCTCAGTGGACCACATCGCCCTCTCCTCCAATCCTATGCCATTGTATGGCATGTTCCCTGTTGCTCACTGTCACTGTGGAATATTTCTCTCGTTCTCCTGGCTCCTTTCACCCGCTGACAGTGCCTGCTTAGCCCAGTGGGCATTTGGTTTGGGGCCTCCAGGGTTATATATCTGACACCCTAGGGTCAGTTACCAGCTGGGTGATTCAGTTCCAGTTTAATCACCTCTCAGTTCTGTCCAGACATTGATTATCCCCTTGGTGGAGAAGCCACACCTTTGTCCTGTCCTCTTGGGCTCTGCCTGTGTTTGCTTTGGGGCTGGGCTTGCACCCACATTGGTGAGCCCAGGGGAGGAAGTAGATGTCCACCCTATGGCGTGTTTAGTTAGAGGCCTGGAGAGAAGATGGACACAAGCACCAAGTGTTTTGTTGTTAGTTTGTCTCAGACGTTCTGAGCTCCTCTCCTTCTTGGGCCTCCTTAGGATGTCACTGGAGCCTCCTCAGTTCTCTCCTCCCTCCTGTTACATCTGTGTGTTTAGCCCCACATAGGCTGGGAATCCCGGGAACCCCCCTCAGCCCATTTCTCTCTGTGGCCTTCAGCTCCACACGTCCACTTGCCCACAGGACGTCTCCACTTGGACGTCCCTCTATAGGGTCAACTCTGCACTTGTATGACCCTGAGAGAGGGTGCCTCAGTACATTGTGCACCCAGGAACCTCATGTGCCTCCCCCCAGTCCTGGTCTTGCCCCTCAAGCTCCACAAATCCAAAATGTAGAAAATCTGAGCTCACTGGCACTCCCAAATTCCTTCAAACCCACCCTCCTCAGCACCTGCTAGGAGAGAATATGGGATTGGGAACGAGGGTACAGAGGCCTCCAAAGATCATGATGCTGTTCTATTTCTTAGCCTGCATAGTGGGTATAGTGGGTACACAGGAGTTTGTTTATCTTTTATAACGTAATAAAATAATTTTGAGTAATCGGGAGAACTTGTTGGCTCTGAGACCACTGGGGATTTGTGGTCATGGGGAGGGGGAGCCAAGGCTGGCTCCTGGGTGTGTGGTTTGGAGGAATCACACCACCAGATGTCAACACTTTCTATACATTCACAGTAATCACAAGAGTTGCCAGAGCAGGGGACTCACATTTCTGCCCATCTCAGGAGATAGCTCATCCCCTTCCCTCATTCTGTTGCCTTTCCACATAAATTTTAGAATCAGCTCGTAAATGTCAACACTATCTGTCTGGGATTTTGCTGGGATTTTGATTGGGTTAAATCTATAGATCAATTTGGGGAGAACTGACATCTTTACTATGATGAATCCTCTAATCCATGAACATGGTATATCTCTGCAATGACTAAGATGTTCTTTGACTTTTATCAATGTTTTGTAGTTTTCAGCACACAGATGCTGTACACATTTTCTTATATTTATGCCTAGCTATTTTATTTTGGGGGAGCTATTGTGAATAGTATTGCTTTTTTAAATTTCATTTCTCAATTGTTCATTGTTAATAAATAGAAACATGATTGATTTTCTGTGTGTTGACATTGTGTCCTGCAACTTGCTAAACTCACTTAGTTCAAGAAGAGTTTTTTTGATTGTTGTTTGGTATATTCCTTGGGATTTTCTATGTATCTCATTAGATTTTAATTTTTATGGTTACTTATGAAATTGAGGCTTATTTTAATATGTTTCTTATTTCCTCTTCTGTGAAATTTTTTTATTGTTTTTTATTGGTTACAAATTTGTTGTAGGTTTGTCTTTTTCCTGTTGACTCTTTGGAATTCTTTCTGATAGTGTGGATCCCATTGACTATTATAAATATTGCAGATGTATTCTGCCAGCTCATGTCTCACACATATTATGGTGTCTTTTAATGAACTGAGTTCTTAATTTTAATGTAACTGAATATGTTAACATTTTCCTTTATAGATTGTGCTTTTTGAGTCAATTTTAAGAAATCTTTTCCTACCTTGAGTCATAAAGATATCCTTCCATCTCAGATATTCCTTTTGGGAGTATGTTTTTTATTCCTGAAGTACAACTCTTAGTAGTTTCATTAGGAAAGGTCAGTAGTAGTCAGTTTGATTTGTCAGAAAATGTCTTTATTTTTCCCCTAACAATTATTTCCTCTCAGCACTTCTAAGATATCTTCCCCCTTTGTTCTACACCTTTCCACATTGTTCCACTGTAGTCTGACTCCCATTGTTGCTGCTGAGGGGTCAGCTGTCAATTGAACTGCTGCTCCTTTGTTGGACTCTGTCTTTTTATCTGGCTTCTTTTAGATTCTTCTCTTCGTCTTTGGTGTTCTGCAGTTTATGTGATAGTGATATAATGTGTTGAGTTGTGGTATCTTTTTTATTAATTTTGCTTGGTATTCATTTTATATTCAATATCTGATAATTCCATTATTTCAGTCTTGGTAGCCTGATTCTGCAGTTTGTGGTTTCTGTTAACTTTCACTCCTGTTCACTTTTTCCCTCCCATGTTTAGTGAACTTTGATTGTGAGCTCATGACTCTGGGAGTAGCTCAGTTCTGAATGAGGCTGTTAGAGACCTTCTGGACTAAACAACTCCACTCACTCCTGTCTAGCTCAGCTGAAAGATATGCAAGTTTTAGGTTCTGCTTTTCATAACACCTCCCGGGCTTTCTGGGTCAGGCAGGTCTCATCCCACAAAGAAATAATACGTAGACATAGACATGTCACCCCATCCCTGATGAGGCTGCCACTGCTGCCGTCCTGGGGAGGAAAAGCACTTTTGAATTTATGGAGAACTCATGGGCTCTTAAGGAGAGAAAGGGAATGGGAGGTGAGAAGCCAGAATAGACCAAGAAGTGACCACAAGGCAGAGACTCCTGGCTCTTGTAGGGCTGGGCAACACCTCCAGGAGCCTGGCCCTCTCTTAAACATCAGCTCTGAGAGCACATCTCCCCAGACCTTAACAATCAAGCTCCAGGTGAATTTTGGGAGTCCTGGGGGGGGGGTCTGGGACCACTTGTGTGTGAGTCGGGGCTGCCTTGTCCTGAGGAGGGGGTGTTGACGGAAAGAAGCTGCTGTTCAGCCTGAACTGGGCATTTAAAAAGCCAGAGAGGTTTCATTGTTTAAAAAAAAAAAGATTCCACTGACTGAAGAGGAAACGTGAGTCTCTCAATGGCCGTCACCCTCACCCTGTGGAACTGTCTCCTCCATTTAGACTAACTGCCTTTGTGCCTCATTTTTTGGCCCCAGCATTACTCAAACTGTCTTCTCTCATGTCCCCATATGTTTTTCATTTGTCAGAAACCATAAAGTTGCCCACATTCGTCAATCTTGGCACATTTCACATGAACACGGAAGACAGTCTGTGAAAACGCACTCTAAATAAAGCTCTCTTCCCTCATGCTGTACATTCATTGAAATGGATTCACCAGCAATATTTTCTTTCATTCAGAATGCCCCACCTCTGCTTAATGCTAAGAATAAGCTAAATGATTAAAAAAATAAAAAGGCGGAACTTAAGAACTAAAGAGTCTACAGAAAAATGACCTTTACATTGGGGAGTAACGTGGTTTCATTTCCTTCAAACAGGACTGCAGGGGCCTAAGAGGAGGCAACTCAGTGACAGAGTGGGGAAAAGTCCTGTACACACTCTCGCCATCTCCATTTGAAAAGGCAGAAACCCTCTCCCTCTGACTAAGCAGGAGGCAGGGAGGCCAGGGTCCCAGAGGAAGGGGAGCCATCACCTGAGGAGGGGACGGGGCAGCCGCATCGTGATGGGCAAATGAATGGTGTCTGGATGCTCAACTTCCCATGTCACTGAGGGCAGGGGGGAAGTAGAGGGACAGAATCTCTGGAAACCAGCTCTTGGAGATGGAGTGAAATGTCTTTTCCAAGGCCAAGTTCTCGCGTCACGTTTGTGGTGGGAACCCTTTCATACCACGTCATTTTCTGAGATGAAGGCCCAAGTTAAGTTTAGGTTAAGGGTTCAGGGTAAACTAACTGGGATGTAGCCCAGAAGTTTCCTAATATGATGGATCTCTAAAAATAAATGCCTCTTTTAAGGCAGCATGCTGTCAAAAAAAGTACCTCAAATGGTACTCTGATTATTTAGGTTAAACTCTTTCTAATTTGATCATGTTTTTCTTCAAACAGCCTTCTCATGTTTTATCTTCACATGTAGTTCTTAATGATTTGCACCAGTGAGGGAATATCTTAGGTTGTAGGAAATGATCTATGGTATCTTACTTGGCATAGCAGCTGTTCTGCTTGCTAGCTCTGACCTTAAGCAAATTATCTAACCTGCCTGGCCTGTTTCTTCGGCAGCAACATAGAAAAACTCAATAACTACCTCCTACAGAAGTTGTGAGGATTAACCTAGTTAATTGAGACCATGTATAGTAGGCACTCAAGAAATGCCCGCTGTACTATTATTATGAGCAGTGAAGGCTTGGGACAATTGACCAGCAGTCACAAGTTCATTTGAAATGCAATAAAATCTTTGTTCTTTGACACAGGAGTGGGTTAACTCATTCCTCAAAGCCTGAAAGTTGTTTTTGT